TGTTGTGTCAAAAAACAGCATTGGTGCAGATAAGATATTTCTCAGCATATCTCTGTGTAGCACTCTTCCTGCCTGAATTCCACCGTAATACAACAAACTGGCCTGTATATAAATTGTTATCCCTGAAATGTGAAATGAAACATGTTGCGGATTATTTAACAAATGGCGATGTTAATGGTGGTCATTTGTCTGTGTCCTGTCTGATCATGTTTCTATTTAAGGTCAGCACTTTGTGTGAAAGCTGGAGACATACAAGTACCCAATGATAAATACATAGAAACTTCAATGACTGGTACAAGTATAAACTACCCCACCATAAGGTACCTCTGAACCTACAGGCAGATATACACCCATAACAAACATTATAAATACAGGAAGAATCGGAGCACATTTAGGAAATTTCTAATTATACATGTACTAAGTTACAGATAGAATGATCCCAACCTGGAACCAAATCTAGCTTTGTACAAAGTGAAAAAGAAAAACTTTGAGAGTGAGGTTGGCATGATCCTAGTGAAAGGGTTTCTGGCGACTATGGTATGTCACCTGTGCAATTATGTAAACCAAGGCCAGGGGAAGGACGACGATGAGAAATTCTGGTGTGCTGTAACCAATGATGACAGGCACCAACAGAAGCAAACAGGAGCAGTTGATCAATACTTCAGAATCAATCACTTCTCACTCCTTACTAAACCTGGTTAACATCCGTCCAATCGGAATGGTATCGAAGAAATCCATCGCTAACCGTAATATATTTCCAAGCAGAGACAAGTGTAAGCTTCTTCCAGCTTTGATATTTTCCTATGTACAGGGCCAGATTGGCACACACTACAAACATACCTGTGAAAAAGACATGTGAATGGCAACATCAGCAAATCATAGGCAAGCTTGTGTTAAAAAGCCATCCATAGGACAAGGCGCTGTCAAGTTAACATAGCATACACATTAAACAGTCTAACAACAACAAGAGGCCCAATGGGCCTGCATCGCTCACCTGTTATTAATCTACCACTTGTAATCTTAAGATTTCATAAGAACCTATTAAAAGATTTAAACATGACGCCTCTGACCTTGATTGTTGAACAAGGACATTAGGTTGAAAGTGGATCAAGGTCATTCATTTGAACAAACTTGGTAGCCCTTCATCCCAGCATGCTACAGGCCCAATATCAGTATCCTGGGCCATTTGTCTCTTGAAAAGAAGTCGCTTGAAGATTTTACGATATTTGACCCTGTGACCTTGAAAGTTGGTCAAGGTCATTCAGTTGAACAAACTTGATAGTCCTTCATCCCAGCATGCGACAGGCCCAATATCAGTACCCTGGGCCTTTTGGTTATTGAGGAGAAGTTGTTTGAAGATTTTACAACATGTGACCCCTGTGACCTTGCAAGTGGGTCAAGGTCATTCATTTGAACAAACGTGGTAGCCCTTTATCCCAGCATGCTCCAGCCCCAATATCAGTACCTGGGCCTTTTGGTTATTGAGAAGAAGATGTTTGAAGATTTTAAGACATCTGACCCCAATGACCTTGAAAGTTGGTCACGGTCATACATTTTAACAAACTTGGTAGCCCTTCATCCAAGCATGCTACAGGCCCAATATCAGTACCCTGGGCCTTTTGGCTATTGAGAAGAAGTTGTTTGAAGATTTTACCATATTTCAACCCCTGTGACCTTGAAAGTTGGTCAAGGTCATTTATTTGAACAAACTTGGTAGCCCTTTATCCCGGCATGCTACAGGCCTAATATCAGTACACTGGGCCATTTGGTTATTGAGGAGAAGCTGTTTGAAGATTTAAGACATCTGACACCAGTGACCTTGAAAGTGTGTCAAGGTCATTCATTTGAACAAACTTGGTAGCCCTTTATCCCAGCATGCTACAGGCCCAATATCAGTACCTGGGCCTTTTGGTTATTGAGAAGAAGTTGTTTGAAGATTTTAACATATTTCAACCCCTGTGACCTTGAAAGTTGGTCAAGGTCATT